GAGGTTTATAAATCTTTTTTTTTTTTTTTTTTTTTTTTTTAAATGTGCTGAGGTTCACTGGTAAGTTTCTGTGGAAATGTAAGCTCCTCTATCTTTTGCCCTCATGTGAACCTTCAATTTGTTATTTTGTCCTGTGAGTTAATTGCTTAATTCTCATATAAGCATTCTGTGTTCCAGTTGGTACTCTTTTGTTGAACGTGGTATTAACAGGATGGAGAAACACATAATGTTCTTTACCCTTGTAGTTGTGTTTGTAATCCTTTCAGAGTACAGGCAAATCCACAACACATTAAAGTTCTTGTCTGTCAACAGCTAGTTAGTGTCGTGAATGATGTCAGCCATTACACACAGATTCGCTACCCAAATTTTTCTAGGAAGGAAATAAATGTGCTTATTTATTGCTTGTGTTCTGATGCAGTTTTTGTCGAGCTCTTCTTTAATCTTGGAAGGAATTATCTTAACTAGAAATTCTGTTGCAGTTTATAAATAGAGGGGAAAATAATCCATTTATTCTCTTAAAATCTTTTGCTTTTTTTATATGAAAACAGATGTAACAGATCAGTTATCTATCCAGTTTGTCTTCTGCAAATGCACAGTTTTACATAAAATAGAATTACTGTATTTTTTTCTCATTCTCACTGAATTTTATTTTCACCACTTTCTTAGAGCTCTTCTAAAGCAAAAATGCATTCTACCTCTAGGAATTAATTACTGATATTCTGTCCAAACAATTAGCATTCTCTTTCTAGATTTAATATAATTTCAAGTTAAAAAATTTTACACAAAAGGATATATCACTTTTTCAAAGGAAGACTTTTCCCTGATAGCCTTACTCTGATTGCCCTGCCTTTCCCCATCTCTGAGAGATCTTCTGTTCTGTCAAGGTTTATTAAAACTTTTCTGATTGAATTGGAATGTAACAGTTTATCACAGCACCACTGTAGTCTTATGTTTGATTCTTACGTTATATACTTAGTTATATTGGGTGTTGATCAAGTACAAAACTACTGCATATATCTAGTTTTTAGTTTATAAAACCTGTAAAAGTTGGAGTTCATATTTAAATTGAGTTTCCAATAAAGTTGGACTCTTTCTGCAGAGGTTTGTTTTGTATTAACTACTGCTATGTGCATGCTGAGTTTGAAGAGGGTTGTTAAAATAACAGTTTCTCACAACTGGAGACTTTTTGATACCCTCAGCTAATTTCTGTTTATGAGAATATTTCAAAGCTAGGGGAATGATATGTGGTTTGATTCCAAATGCAAACCATTTCTAGCAGGGTTGTTTTGTATTTGGTTTTGACCATGTCAGATTCTAATTATTGGCAACAAAGGGACTTTTATTTAGCCCTGAATACTCATATTGCCTAATTTAAAAATTATTAATCGGTGTTGAATACATAACATTATTAATTAGTAACACTATGTACATTAATGGATGAAGCACCTTAAAGATTAAAAGCTGTAGAGAACACTTACACAAAGGAAAATCATTACAAATACATTAAGAGGCTATTTGCGTGATGTTTAAAAAAAAAATATGCAGAGGCATAAATTGCTGAATAGTGAATTAGTTCTTAATAACCTTGCCTACTTGTATTTTCTGTGGCAATTTTCCAGGATGTGCTTCTGTTTCTGAGCACCTACTTCAGTTTGTCATTAAGCTCTTGGTGTGCAGTCCACTTATTAACTGCTAGAGTTTGTCTGCCTGAAACATACTAACTTTTTAAGCCTTTTTCCCCTTCACTTTCTTGTTAGCTCTTCAATCGTGTGCTCAGGTCAAATATTCATTCCCTGTTCGCCCCCATTTATTACCACCTGATAACTTACCAATAGTCAGTTGTCAATACCGTCTGTGTTATCCATATGAATGGTAGTAAAAACTAATTGTACTGGTGCTTCCATGCTTCATTGTAAATCTATTGCTAGAAATACTGTTCAAAAGAATGTTGTCATGTGTCTTGTTTAATAATTTTATATCTTGTTTGCTATAGAAATTTTAAATACTAGTGATTACAGAGGCATGCATTTCTGAAAGGTGATTTTTTTTGCTTGCGGGCACAGCTCAATTACACTGAGAGAAGAAAATTGGCAAATGCACTATAGTGTTGCATGAGTTTTATACATGTGTAATGTGTGCAACAGTTAAAAGATAATCCTGTGCATGATTTCATGATACTTTATTTTTTTTAATGCATGAGACTAGCAACAAAATATGTTCTATGGGAAAGAGCAGATCTGATTTTTTTTTTTTCACTTATAATTTTAATTGTTGTGTTTTTATTTGAATGTTCAAGTAATTCAGTGTGATGCTTGGAAGTTCATGGTCATTCATTACCACTAAAATCAAGGAGTTAAGTATTCTCATATCAAAACGAAGTAGTTATGTTTGAATTTAAAAGCAAAACTATACTGACTTGCTTATCTTCATCTGAAGTAGAAAAAGGTTCCTAAATTTTGGCTTTGAGTGGAAACGCTTTTTGTTATTCAGCCTATTTATAAGACTATTTCACAAATTATCCCCTTCTTGTCAACCACTATTCTCTTGTAGGGCGTGTAGGTGTTCTTTTAGTAGCACTTAAAACATTTTAAAATGCATTTTTTGGAAGCAATATCTCAATAAAAAAGCTAGTGGATCTGTTGACAAATTGCACTTGTTTCCATCAAAAATCTAAAAGTTATGTGAATGTTTTTAAGTAGGCTCTTCCAGTTTGTCCTTAGGTAGTATCTACTAGTCCTTCCACATGAAGAATAATAGATAAGCTATCAATTGACCTTATTTCTTTTGCTATTTCAAGCTCTCACTTCATCCTATATCCACAAGGGTGCTTAAATTGTTAATGTCATCTGACCTGCGCTAGATGCTTAGGGTTGCTACATGGACTTAAGCTCTTCATTTTAGAATGAACATCTTTGGAAAAGAGAATTTGCTGAATTTCCTACATATGCTATGAAAATTTTCTTATTGAAGGTGAAATATGCTGATTGGAAACTGTAGGTTTGAGGGTATGCATAGTAGTGGAGAGACAGTATTAGGTTGTCCTTGAGATATGACAAAATAAAGGAATGTTAGCATTAGCAATGACAGATCCTTGATATTAAGCCTGGAGCAGGTGGAAGTATAAGGGGTTTTTGTCTGGTTTAGGAAGCAGCCTTTGTAAGAACCTGCTTCTCACTAGTCCCCTGAGAAAATTAACCATAATTAATGCAATTAATTCAGTCTTTGCTTAATGTTAGCTCTTAAATATAGACTACTGAAATAGTCTGCCTTCCTAGGTTGGCAGTGACATTATTTGCCTCAGCTATACCTGTATTCCTCTCAATGTGGAACAAGAAAGAATAATGAAGTCTTTATTATAATGGTGATCTGACTGCTTTGTGGTCTGGTCTTCATGTGAAACTTCTGTTTCGGTTTCAAGTAGTCAGCTTGGTTGGTCAGTGTAAGACTGAAGTTCTTAAGACATGTATGTCCTTCATTTTAGGCACAGATACTGATCTGTAACTACAGTTTAGAAGGTATATGTGGGATACGTTGGTCATTACTTAAGGATTAGGAAATAGCTATGATCTTTGTGGATTTGGAACCCCTCCCAACTTGTAGAAGACACAGTAAGTTGTGGTAGTATTTTGGTAGCTGACACTTTGGTAGAATTCATTTCAGACTTCAGTCCCTGAATGATGTTGGATATGTAGCAGCAAAGAGGTTATAATGCGGTTAGATTATCTGATCTTTTGGTTTAAGTGTGAAGTGGCCTTGTCTGTTTATATCGAAGGTTTCAACTCTGATACATGGATCAAAAATAAAGTGAGCTGGTTTGTGGTGTTGGTTCTAGACATCATTTAAGAACCTGGAATAAAACTATTTCTAGTTCTATGTGATAGGTAAAGTCCAATTTGTGATTGTACATGCAACATAATTGCTTTCTTTTTGAGGTATTACATGTTTCTTAATTGTGCCCTTCAAAATGTAGGTGCTGTCCAAGTAGTAGGGGAGGAAATGCATGCATGTAGAAATGTCTTTTTGTAAGATACTAAGAGTGTGAGAGGTAGGGTTTTTTCCCCTCCCAGTCTTGGGAATAAAAAGTTGAATTGCTTGTTCTTAAAGAACTGGTATAGTTTGTCACAAAACGTATTTCTTAAAATCAAGATAAAGCATATTGGGCCTAAATGAAGAGGTTAGTTGCTTTTGTGTTCATTTTCCCACATCAACTGAATGGTTGATGCACCTTGAAAATGGTTATTTTTTTTGAATGAAGTAAGTTTTCTATACATGCTTGACTACAGTTGTGCTCTATAGCATTGTATATATAATATCCTTCACTGTGGAAGAATTTATTTGCACCTTGTCTTAAGAAAATTTGCTTATTTATTGTTCAGTTATGATATAGGTTATTCTTGTGGTCATACAAACTATGCTACCTCTTAAATTCATTGTTTGCAGGTGGAGAGCAAGGAGATACTAAAGTTACAAAGTGTTTGATTGTGTGGAAATGTGCAAGTGTGTTATTTCCAAACATGTCAGTTAAAGTTCCAAGCCTTTTCATGCTATCATCTATTATTTGTGTATCTTTTGTTTTAATTTTTTTGCTCTTTGCAGCATTCTGTTCAAGTAGAAAGTGACTTAAAATCTTCAGAACTGCATTTCTAACTTCATATCTGTATGTTTATGGCTATCTTGCTTGTCATTGACTGTACTATAGGCTATTGAGTTCAGAAAGTCACTGATAAAACCTGCCAACATTTTTTTAAGAAGTCATCATAGCTTCATAAATACCTTATATAAATTCAGCTGGACTTCAGGTGGAATGAACCGTAAAAACACACATGACCAGGAATCACAGTAACATCACTTCTTTGTGGAACAAACCTCTAAAGACAACTAGTTGTAAACTTAGTAGTAGGAGACAGGTCTGTAAACCTTGATATCAAAGGTGTTTTTGAACTGTCCTTGTACTGTGGAGTAGGCTTTCCTGCAAATACTCAACAAATCCTAACCATCTGTTTAAAGCAATAGGAGTCTTCTTGAAAAAGTGACATTGAGTATTCAGGAAGATAGGGCATCATAGTTCACCCCACTCTCATTCTCAGACTGCTTTATTTTTTTTTTTCTGATAACTTAAATATTTTGCTGGTCTGTATGTGAGTCTTTTGATTCTTTTTTGAAATACGCAGTTCAATATCTCTTGATGTTCTTTGTGAAGTTTCTCACTTTTCAGGATGTGCTGTGATGCTTGGGATTTTTCATAGATTTGCAGGCTGTGATTTCTAGATGTTTTAGAAATCCAGTTGTCTTTCCAGAAACGTGTTGTCAGATCTTAATCTATCCTTGGCTTTATGAGTTGAAAATGACTGAAAGCAGTCTGCTTTTCACCAGAGCAGCTTTTGTGCAGAACTTTAAAATACCATTTCAGTAAATATGTCTCCATAATATTCGCCCTTTTTCCTGTCTGTTTTGTTTAATGTGTATGCATGCAAGATGTGAGTAATCTTACTCTATTAAAAGAAATCAAAATGCTGATTAGAAGTTCTTAAGAATCAACAAGTTGTGAGGAAGGAGTCTTCCATATAACTATTAAGTATGCATTGTCAGTTCTGCAAATCGAAATGTTAGGAAGTTTCAATTATAAGTAAGACAAATTAGTGTAAGTGGAGTCCTTGCTGCCTGTTAACTATTTAGTTCTGATGTGAATTCTAATACTAATCAACAAAACCACTGCACAAAACTACCTATAAAGTTGATCATTCATTGATATAAGCAATCCTTGTTAGAACTGTTGAGGGTATATTAAAGGTACACCAAAGTCCTCATAGATAATTATTCTGTTAAGGGTATATTTATTATCTGTACTCTGAACTGGTAGATTTTTCTCCAGAGATATTATTCTGTTGCCATATGTAGCAGCACTGCATCAGGGTGATATGATGAAAATTTTAGCACTGCTGCATATGCCATAGCTGTTCTCAGGAGCTTAGTCACGTGCATTTTGGTCAATAAACAGTAAATTCAATGAACAATTGCAGAAGACTGCTTGACAGTAAGGAGTGTCTTATCTTCAAAATTAGATGCTCTTTCAGAATAAGCACATTAATCTGCATTTTAATAGAACATGTTCCCTGAATCTGGAAGAATGCTGAAAAGAGCAATGTTAATGTTTGAACCTTGAGATAGTGAGAAGAAAATTCCATTTTTACTGTGGTGTCTGAGAATTGTCTGAGATGATGTGCCATGTTGCAGTGTTACTACCCTTTCCTAAAATTCTCACTATCTGTGAAAATGGCTTTAAAGCGCCACAGAATAGTAGGTGAAAAGAATATGAATGGCCCTAGGGGTTATCCCATTGTGTTTGGTTTTTAGCGTCTCATTTCATTATGGTCTTATCTGTGTGTTGTACAGATGTCAGGCACGTTGCTGGTATGTGTTTTGCGGCTTTTATTTATTCTTCTGAGGAAGAAGCTATGTTATTTGTTGCCAAGCTATCTAGCAACAGTAGTAGTTCTGGTGATGGATATCAAGATGCATAAAAGTGTATGTATTTTAAATCTGATGCTGAAAATTTTATTTTAAAAAGGCCAAAAAAAAGTCTTGAGGTTTTCTCAATTTCACTTGTTCACAATTCTTTGAGGAATCTTAAGTATGTTTGATTAACAGATGGATTAAAGTGAAAATGTTCTACTTTTCGCACCAAGCATTACTACATGAAAATAACTGGCTTATCACATGCAGCCTAGCAAGTAACAGTGATGACATAACAGTAAATATGATTACATAGATCTTGAATTCAGTTATTTAAATTACTTCAGGATGATAGGTATATAAATTGAATGAAACTCTTCTCTTCATGGAACAAGTCTTACTTTAACATCAATGTTAGTAATAATACTGTGTGAAACAGTCACTGAATTAAATATATGTAAATTTGGTAGCATTCTATTCTATTATACTCTCAATCTGTTATAATAATGAACAACTGATCTTAAGTTCTCTTTAAAAAAACAATCTTTAAATTAATATTCCTTCAAGCACAGGTGAAGCTTTCTAAACAACTCTCTAGAACTTATTCTTTTAGTGTACTAACATCCTTTATCTTGTTAAGAAATGAAAACTAAACTTAAGAGGTTTTTTAATGCATCTACTTGAAGTCTTTGAACAGATGTTTTTTACTTATGCATTTCTGTTGTTTTCTTTCTTAGCAGTGGACTTTTAGTAGGATCTAATAAAATTGTATTAAAGAATAACAGTAGCTGTAACGCATTTGAGTGAAATAACTGAATTTGCTTTTGTATATAGCTTAGAATGTTTTCTAACTTTTGTTTTAAATGGAAATAAGCTGTAAATCATTGGGTGGGTGTTGGGGTTTTTAGTTTTGTTGGTTTTATTGTTTGGTTGTTTGGTTTTTTTTTGTTTTTTTTTTTTTTTTTGGTTAAGTGATGTAGTTGGTATTGCATTTTCACTGCTGCTTGATTTTTGTGTTTGTAGAGCCAGAATGAAGACTGGGGAGGTTTGTCTGAGGATATCTTATGATTAAGAGACAATCTAAGACATTAGTCCTTTTGACCCCCATCTAAATGATTGGTAACTACCAAGTTTACCATTTTGGTGGCATGGATTAAATGGGTGCTATGCAAAGACTGCTGCACGTGTAATTAAGTCCTTGCAAGGGTAAACAGAAAATGGGTGATGGGCTTAACCTTCTGCAACACTTGCATGATGGTCTTTGAAGAGTGCTTTGACTGTTCCCTGTTATTTTCCTTTTTTGTACTAACCGCATCAACTTGAAGTGTCTGACTTCTACTAGCTTTCTTTGGTGTTGATAATTAAGTGGGATAATGCAAGTTAGAGAAATGGATACCAAAACTAATAACTAAACAGATGTTTGGCTTTGTTTACTTACAATCAACCCATGTAAATGCGTATTTACTGGAAAATGAGCTGTTTCCATCTGCTGTGCAAAGAAAATTGGCCCTAAAAAGACTGGGTGCTGCTGCAATTGACTGTATATCAAGTGCCGGATGCTGCATGACAGAACAAAGCTTATTTGCATATATAGTGCATTGCAACATATTTTTGTCCAAAGCGTAAATGGAGTACATTGTGGCAGTCCTACTAATAAAGGTAAGATTTTATTTTGCGTAAGGCAAGTTTAAAACACACATGAAAATGATTTGCTGGAGAAAACTTAATTAGTCTGCTGCTTATTTGATATCATGATAAACAAGTGGTTCAGTGAACAAATTGGCTTTAGTAATGTGGAACTGCACTAATAGTTTTATTTTCATATGCAGCTTTCTAAATACTAGGATTTAGTTCCCAGACAAAAGATAATTATTATAATAGATAAAAATAATTTGTAACATGTTCAAAATCAAATTCACTGTTAGTGTGTGGGTAAAAAGTTACCTAGTGTATCATACAGCTGTTGATCTTTATTGAGGAGTGGGGAGTAGCCAATACTTGCATATTTGCATACTTGCATATTAGACCTGTAGGATTACAGCAGGTAACAAGTCACTTGTTCAAAATAGAATTTCTTACATGAGCTTGGACATAATCTAAAACAATTATATGAAAACCTAAATGCTCAAGCTTGACTTTTCACAGTGTTTTCATCTCCTTATAGCTTTTTCTGTCCTCTTCATGATAACAAATTCATGTTGATTCTCGTGGTGAGGTTAGTATTAATACTGTGACTGTAAAAGTTTCCTTGTGATTAAAACTTTAAAAAGTATTTATATGGGATGCTGCTTCTTGTCCAGTACTATTCCCTGGAAGGAGTGAAGGAATAGTCACTGCGTACGGAGCTTAATTTACACCAGTTACATTGTCATGACTCCAAAGAATGTGGAGAAATGGGGATGGCATCTGCTGGGGTAAGTGGAGAGGGACAGATAGATGGTTGCACCTAGGAAGAGATGGGGGTAGTTTGACTGCTGAAAGGAACTGCAGCTTGCACATAGAAATGAAGATCATCTGTGGTAAAGAAAGATCACCTCAGGTAAAGAAGGTTGTCTTTGGGCAAAGGGAGGAGTTTGACTCATACAGCTTCTGTGCTTAGATTAACCAGGTACTTAACTAATAGATTATACATATTCAAATTATTGAATGTGTTACTCTATCAAGCATAAAAAAGCACTAAATGAGCAGAATTTTTTGAAGGCTGTCTTAGGGAGACTTGCTTGTAAACTGTGGTGTTGAGTTCTACATATGCTGTATGGCAAATGTAATAAGCCACATATTTAGAAATATTCTATTCCTACAGAATTTAGTTAAATTTAAGGTCAGCCTTGTATAATCTTGAAAAACCTAAGTGGTATACAGCTAGAAAGGGTGAAATCTTTTTATTGTGCACTCAAGTTCTACCGAATACAATTTATGCTTTATCAAGAGCAGTTTACAGGTGGTAAAGTCAGGGGGTATTTTCCTCATCACCTAAAACCATGCTGACAGTGACTCGTGTTGAGATGGTCAGATCCATTCCTGCTACCACCTCTGTGATGGCACTTGTGTTGATCCACTTGTCCTGTGATTACGTGGTTCCTAGCTTGTTAGCTAAATAAGAATATGCAGGAGGGTACGAGAGGAGCGGCATTGAAAAGAAAAGTAAAAGGCAGCTGCTTTTAGTGGCAGCCAGGACTTTTGCTAAAGCCAATGGTGTGACTTAAATTATGTTTTATTTTTAACAATTCCCCAATGTGTCTAAGTGTTTCAAAATGCCAGTGTCAACTCGCATAGTTAGGTAAATTCTAATTTACCTGTCTTATGCTGCAACCCGCTGGCTCGAGTTGTAGCAGCATGGCGAGCAGTTTCAGCAGCAGTTTTGACTTACTGAGTTTTCAGTTGTCCTTTCCCTCCCTTTTTCCTTTGTGCCAGAGCAATTATTTATATGACCATTCTAGAACCAGATTTTGGATCCATTTAAACTGATCCAATTTAAATTGCTCATTTTTAATAACATACAGTCAGCAGTTTTTCCGTGTTTACAACTTGGCCCTGCAAACATTTGTCCAAACAACTGTAAGAAGGAAAAGTGCTGCAGGAACAGGACGGAAGGGGAATGCTTAAATGCCATTGCCATGGAAGCTGAATGATACTGGATGTGACATGGCCTGTTACAGCAGTAAATTCTGGTCATCTCTTCAAAGATACAGCCCTGCAGTTTAAGAACTGCTTCCTTAAGCAAAGGGGAAAAAGTAATGCAAACCTGTAGCTGCAGTGTAGAGCTGGAAGAAAATGGAAGAAAACATTAATGAATCTTTATGTGCATACTTTGGTAAACTGCCAAACATACAGACACTGTGGGATTATCTGATAGAGAACTCAGTGATTTGTAATAATTTTGGCTCTAGCTTCACAATACACAGTATTCAGCGGTAGTATTTGTTTAAAGCATTCAGGGTTTTGTGGTGGGGAAGTGGAGCCTCCAGTGGATGCTTAGAACCATCCTTACCCTTAAAGATTAGACAGTCAGTTATTCATAGTTCACTGTGTCGCAACTGATTGGCGGGTATAAAGCACTGCTGCTTGGAGTGATTATCACCTCTGATCCAGCAGATCAGAATAGCAACTAAGAAGCAGGAAGCACCCGCTATTATCCAGTTACAGTACATGAAGTTTCCACTGATATTTTTACTTCTGCCTTTGAGAGGCAGGCAGGCAGGTCACTGCTGATTTTATGTCACATCCTTCTGCTCTGGTCTGTTAAGATGATGTTTTAGAGCTGAAGTGCATACGCTAGGATGTTTTGCTGAATAACACTTGCATGACTGTTGCTGTTGCAGACTCTAGTTGAGCGAGTATTGTGTTGACTAATTTGCGCCAGTCTTGAAGATTTCTCTTTTGTCCTGTCTGTATAGGATTCTGCAGACAAGATCTTAACTTGGAGTTGGCATAGATGTAGGATTGTTCTTTGGTTTTGGAACAGAATCATAGTTCATTGTTTTGAACATGTGTTCAAGACCTCATGGGGTTTCTAGGTTCTCTGACAAAACTTTGCTGTCCTTTGAAAGTAAAGTAGAATTTTCCCAATATCCATGTAATTGGAGTGAGTTAGTTTGCCAAAGATTGGGAAACAGATGCTCTACTATTTTGAAATCCCTGAAAACACAAGTGAACAGCAACAATTTCCTCAAGCAGCCTTTTGTTAGAAGTATTTCCTAATAAAAATTAGGAAGTAGAGTGTAAAAGTAATTACTTCTGAAGTGTTGCTAAAGAAGTGTTTGTTAAATGTACTCTCTTCCTACTGTAAGAATTTCATGTTTCTAAACAGAAACCCTCATCCTTTGTCTCTCTTTTCCCCATAGCCTGTTTCTCTGGAACAAACTGCTGTGCGCTCCATGGTCCCATATCTTGTATGTTGTTCTACCTTGGGGCTTGTTTAGATGCTGGGGGGGAAAAACCCTAAGATTTTACCAAAAGGTAGCAGCGCTGCTTTTTGCCTTCAGTTAAACATAGCTTGCCATCATAGGCTTTATGATGGTTTTGATGGGAAAGAAGTTTAAAGAAAAACCTGAGCAAACTTTCCTTGAACAAAGAAGGCATGCCAAGTGTTCATGAAGTCTGTGTTACTGCTGTGTGATGCCAGTAAAATGGCAGCGCTGCAAAACACCTAAGTCAGTCTTGCCTGAGATAATAGATTGTTTTCTTGTCCACTACAGACATAAAATAGCTTCAATTGTGGCAAGAAAATAATTTCAAAGTAGATATTAGGCAAATTTTCCAGTGGTGATAATGAAGCGATTAAGTAGATTGCCTGGGGGACATTAAAAGTTTCCATCACTGGATGCCTTTAACAGATTAAATATCTCTCAGGAATGTTGCAGGTATGCTGTTTGGGGGACCGGATTAAATGAAGTCAATTCTAATTTTAGTTTGATTATGATTTTTAATTAGGTTGGGTCATGACAAAGGTGGTTGAGAAGAATGTCAGTTGTGTTGGGCTAGCTAAATAGTTCTGTTGACTCAGATCAGCTCTACCATTTTTCTAATTTAAAAATCTTTAATGACTGAAAATTTCATAGAGTATTACTAGCTTTTTAAAATTAGTTGTAAACACAGATGTCAGATTGAAAAAGATGGATTCTAGTAACTTTAAAACATTGTGGAATTGCAATGTGCAGCTTGTATTGTAGACCTGTTACTGCTTTGGCAAAACTAGGATCTAAGACTTATGTGTTAAAGTCAGATAAACAGCGTACATCAGAATTTTTAAATAAGTGATGATTTTTCAGAGATAGTATTTTATATTGGTTTGCTGTTGTATTGTGCTGTGAGGATACTGTTGCCTATTCCCCAGCTACTAGATCAACTCATTTATAAACTCATTAGATCCAGATAGCTAGCTACCTTAAGGACATGCTTCACAGGCTCAGATGTTGTCTGACGTCTAAAGACTCCCGCAGAAGAAAGGCAGAGTAGTGACTAGTCTACAACATCTAGTAGATAGTTGAAGCTGATATCTGTCCTTTCCCCCAGATTATCCTTTCTGGTATTCAAACCAGCAGGGTAAGTCCTCTGGAGACAGTGTGGTAGGGAACACAGTAAAAAATTTAACAGATCATAGTTGGAGCTTGTGAGAT